GTTTTTGAAGCAATGTGTCAATGCCAGGTCACCTCACGTCACGTGAGATTGAACTTGTCTGTTTGTTATTTTTCTAATTATATATGAAACTTTGTAGTTTAGTGCACATTGCGAAATTATCGCTTAAAGGTGTTTAATTTTGAAAGGATTTTCTATTGAATTTTTTACTTGATAACTGATTAATACTAAAGACATCCATAAAATAAAAACTGGGATTGATATTTCCAAAAGTTTGTCCACCAAAATCATTTAAATTCATTCAATTTTAATTTTATTAAAATATTAATTTTAATATTTTAAAAATTTTTAATGCCCAATTCAATTGGTGATAGCCATCTTTCTTTTTATGCAAAAAGCACTTCAAATTTTATTCTAACCTTTCTCTTCTATTGTTCTATGTTCAGTTAGTTTGTTCACTTATTTTGACGTGATAAACATGGGTTGTTGGAAATTGTCTATGCTCAATCTAATAGCCAACTTGCAATTTGCAAAAGGAAGAGTTAATGGCAGTTGAAGAACTCAAAGCTACGGCAAAGTAAATTTTCAAGATTTTAATTAATCAATTCGTACAATTATTTTTAAATGACAACATCTAGTAGATTTAAATTTTAAATTTTAGTATTTTCAATTATTTTAGTAAATTATGATTTCTATTTAAAAATTACAGCAAAATAACTTAATTTAATTATTTTATGCAATTATTTTTAAGTCACAACATTTATTAAATATAAAATTCAAATCCAATTACTTCCAATCTCTCTTACTAGATTATGATCTCTATTAAAAAAATCTGCAGCAAAATAATTATATTTGAGTAGGCAAACATTTTGCTAACGACAAACAATATTCAGATTAAATAACTTGTAACGAAACGATTGAAATCACACATGACCTAAGACAACATGTTCACATGAATAATGTTGTCTTAGCTAGGGGAAAAACTATATTTTAAAAATCTGTGTCTGACTCTGGTCATATGACTGTCATGATTGGTTTTTGGAAGCAGTTTGCCAAGTTGGGGTGGAAGCTTACAAAATCATGGCACTTCATGTTTCTTTTTGAATGAGCAGTTTCAGTTTATATAGTATTTTACGCAGATATTTATATTTAATTTGTGAAATATTATTATTTATTATAATTTAAAATTTTCATAATTTTATCTTATAAAATTAAAACTCATAAATTTAAATTTAAATTTAAATTTTTACTTATATATTATAGTTAAGCAGAGAATATATGAATGATTAAGGGTTAGATTTGGGGGTGGTGGTGGTGATGTGGGATTTTAAGGACATAACAACATAGACAGGTTGGAGAGGATTTGCGAAAGATTTGCATCCCTTGGTGGATTCGTGGGCTCATGTGCCCACCAACAACCCATAACCCATTTCATAGAAACACCCAAGCCTTTTATCTATAGTCTATACCTTCTCCCTAGAGTTCATTTTATTTGTTCCCTTTTAAAGTTTCACACAAAAATTCGGGTAATAATTTACGAATTCATTTTTTTTATACATTATCGGTAGGATTTTTAAATTCTACGAGTACAATTGATATATTGTCAAATGAACTTTTTAATATATTAATTTTACTCTCAATTTGAATTAAAATTTTTATTGAACTTCATTAAAAAAAAAATCTCATTAACAATTATAATTTAATTTTGTATAGATTCGGCATTTTTTTTTGTTACAAAAAGATTGTAAGCTTTGCATATCATTTTATAAATTCCTCAATAAAATTATATGAAATTTATTTTTAATAAATTATCAATATAATTTTTTAATTTCAAAACGGAATTAAAAATTTATCATATATTTATTTTTAATTATTTATTTTTTAATAAAATAAAAAAATTTATTTATAGAATCTTAGAATTTATCTCTACGGAAGAAATGAAAAAAAATTATTTATATGTCAAATAAAGTCATTAACCATTTTATTTAAAAAAAAAGTTAAAAAGTAAGGTTGACCGTTGATGACTGGAAATAATTTTCAAACGTAAGTTGGTTTAGTGATTTCCAAAATAATACTGGATTTATTTACCCACAAAAGAAATATGTACTTGATTTTATTAAAAAAAACCGTAAGAATTTACCAAATACAAACAAAAATATGTTTGTCGTAGTAGATAGATGTTAGATAGGGTCGTGGCTATTTTTTGTCTTGGCTAGTCTCTGTTTTGCCAACTGGTATCCAAGTTGCTCATCAAGGCCCACTTAGGCGGCAGTTGGCAGATGCCGACAAGCTTCGCTTCCCGCCCAATGACTCAACCACACCTTATTCCACGACCAACTTGAGTTAGAACTTGTGACTGATTGCTCCGCAAATCTCTTTCTCGTTTTCGGTGGAGGTGAAGATCAATGTCAATGCGAATTGGCTTCTTGATTGGTCCGACAGATTTTACTTTAGGTTTTCTAAGCACACCTATTTCTTTTCTCCTTATATATATTTTAATTTTTTTAAGTAAAATTATTTAACTATTTTTATCTTAATTTTAAAACTTTCGCATGTACATATCCTAAAAATTATATAACTTATTAAAAATATATATCCAAAAATTTTTAAAAATTACATTTAAATTAAAAAAATTAGTTGAGAAAATATATTTTAAAAAAAGTTTTAAGTTTAAAAATATTCAAATTTAAAAATTTTTAAATATATAAAATTTGAAAACTTTTAAAATTTTTAAAATTTACATATTTTGAAATTTAAAAACTTCTCAAATTTTCATATTCTAAAACTTAAAATTTTTTGTGAGATATTTTTTTCTCAACTTAAATATAAACTTTTTTTAATTTTCAGATATATATGTTTTATAAATTATATAATTTTTAATGTATGTATAATTTATCGAAAATATATATTTGAAAAATTATAAAATTAACCAAAAATACATATCCAAAACTTTAAAACTAACATAAGAAAAATAAATAAGTAATTTCATTTAAAAAAATAAAAAAATGATATGTGATGAGAAAAAATGAAAGCATATTTAAAAAAGCCCCTTTACTTTTACTTCCACCTCTGTTCGATCCTTAAAATTACTGAATCATCCCTCTGTTCATAATCGACCTCTTTCTTTGTGGGGTGAAGATGCCAAGTACCAATTGATTCGATAAAAAGAATTTTTTTTTTCAGAGACAAAATAACGATACTTAATCTTCTATAATATTCTGCTTATCCAATTACGTCTATCTTTTATTAGTTTTTGAGATGAATTAATATTTTTAATAAATTTATAAAATTTTAAAATTATAAAAAATTTTAATAATAAAATTTATAAATTTTGAGTTTTCAATTTTTAAATATATATTTAAAAAAATTAATTTATTATAATATTTAAAATAATAATCAAAGTTAAATTCATTTGACAAAAAATAATTAAAAAGGGACAAAGAAACGAGAGGAGGGAATCTTACATAATTCGTACGTTATCTTAAATATGAGAATCTTATTTTATAGTAAAAGCTTTTCCCGAAACTAATATTTCATTTTAATTACCCAATTAGAGTACTTCTCTTGGCAACCAAATGTTGTCAACATTTTTTTTTTTTTTTTTGTAATTTTCATGTGAAGGAAAGTTCCTTCTCTATTTTATAGCGAGTTCCAAAAAATTATTTTCTTTCAAATCAATTTCTTACAGCCAACATCATCCAACTTTCTTTCTACAAATTAACCATCAGAAGATCATGATTTTGGTTTCGACGCTAGCTTTCAGTTTTCAAATTATAGTTAGATTCTAATCTCATACACAACTAGATTTCTTTGAAATTCAAACTCAATCGAATATGAAAACTCATATCACCCATGGAAAATCTATACCTAAATATCCAAAGTCAATCAAAATTGAATAAGAACAACACAACTTCAACAAAAAGTATAGTAATAAAATTAATCCTTCAAGGACTTATGCAGTCTCTTGTGCAAATAAGATGAGCTTGCAAGTTCTTGACAAAAATTGATTTTTTAAAGTTTTGGGCTGGAAGTGCTAGCAATAGATAATAAATATAAGAAATTAAAAAAAAAGAAAAGAAAAAAGAACGGGGAGAGAAGTTTGATTGAAGAGAGAGAAAAAAATAGTGAAAGTAATTAAGATATGAGAGAGAGAGAATGAATACGATTAAAATTTATTATGAATACCCATTTGATGGGACTTTAATATTTTGAGAATGATTTTTGAAAAAAAAAAAATGAAAGAGATATTATTGGATTGGAGAAAGAAAATGATGTACAAAAAAGATTAAACAAAAATGGATAATTGAAGAAGTGGACAAAAAGAAAAAGAAAAAGAAAAGGAAAGAAAGAAAAGAAAAGTAAGAAAATAAAAAAAATAAAAAAAACAAACTTTTCCCCACTTTATGGTTTAAAGTTGACGTGATATCTAATACCCATTGAAGAATAACCAACAATTGTAACAGAAAAACAATAACCATTGTGAAGTGATAGGAGGGTTAACTTTCGATAACCAACGCTCTTCATCAAAACCTTTCAATAACAAGCCAGTGGCAACGTCTTGTTATTTAAACAAAAAAAAAAAAAAAAAACTTTCTTGTTAATAACTGCTAATAAATAAAAAAAAAACACAAACTTTCCTTTCACTTAAATATAAAGATTTCGTCTCAAAATTTTGTTATATATTAATTTTTTTTAATTTAAATATATATAATATTAAAATTTAAATTTTTTTAAAAATTAAAATTCATGATTTTAAATATTAAAAAATAAAACACAATTTTAAAATATCTAAAAAAACAAAAAAGACAGAAAAAGTAATTTTTTAAAACTGTAAAAAATTTTAAACTTCATTTAATATATATTTTTAATTAATTTAAATAAATTTGTTGACGTTGACGAATAGTTAGAAATGAAAGAACCAATTAGAGGTATGACGAAGAAAAGATAAAGGGCTGTGATTTCTCCATGACGTCATCTCAAATGGAATCCTATTCTAGACTCAGTCGCAGTGAGATATTTCTATACTTTTCGAGTGTAATGGTACAGGTCCACCCACCGCATCGACTTGCCAACTTGCGCGAAGCACCAGAAAGAACTCCACTAAGATGAGGAGAAGTTATTAGAAAAGAAAAGGCAGGGGGTGGGCATCTTTTTAAATACGATTATTATTATGGAGAGCCAAGGGGGTGAGACAGGCAGTGTGAACGTGGGCCCACCATTTTAGATCAATTGGACGTACGTTTCCTTTCTTTTTCTCTTTCTCTCACACACATTTGATCAAACAGGTAAAAATAAAAGGACATTTTTTTTATCAATGATTTATATTTTAAAATTAATAAATTTTATAAATTCTGTTTTCTTTTTTGTATCATACCACACCCATCCATTACCCAAATACTTAAAAAAAAAGAAAAAGTACAACTGAGTATTATTCATGCATGGTGGCGAGAGATTTATGGGTTTTAATACGATTTAAAGTATGTAATGTGATTTTGTAAGGACTGGGTGAAGTAAATAAAAGTCGGAGAAGATAGATTAGAGATTTAAAAAGAAAAAAAAAAAACACGTTCCCATCATCGTCGGAGAAAACCTCTCGCAACTTGTCTCAGCTTCCGTTCACTTTCAGGCGGATACTTTCCCTACTCTTCCCGCCTTCTGTCACCTGAGCAAGGAACCGTTAAGTCCGTTATTCTTTACCTTTGACTCTTTCTGCTTGTTTCATTAGATTTTACTTAATTTTCACTTTTTTATGGATAGGTTGTTGTAAGTGTGAAAGGAAAAAAAAAAGGCTCAGTGCTTTGAATTTGGGATTAATTGAAAACTAGACTTTTTTTATGTAAATTGATTTGGTATGTGGGTTGCTCTTAATTGGAATCATGGGTGTGTTGGTGTACTGTTTTTGGACTTTTGGAGAAGAACTGAAGATGATTAGTGGTAATTAATAGTGCAGTTTTTCTATTTTGGGGGGTTTTGGAGCTCTGATCTGTAGTTGGAATAGGATTAAGGTTCTGGTTTGTTGTTGTTAAATTTTCTCTTTTGAGGTTAAATTACTGGGTTTGGGTCTTCTAGTTATCTGGGTTTCAAAAAATGGAGCCTAGAATTAGAAGTGAAGCTCATCCATTTTATGGTATGAATCCGGCGGATTTGCGGGCAGTTGGGAAAGGGACATTGGAGTGGGATTTGAATGATTGGAAATGGGATGGTGACCTTTTCATTGCTAGCTCGATAAATCCAGCGTCCGCTGATGGCATGGGAAGGCAGTTTTTTCCACTGGGATCTGGGATTCCTGGGAATTTGTCCAATAGTTCATCATCATGCTCTGATGAAGTGAATCTGGAAACTGAGAAAGGGAAAAGGGAATTGGAAAAGAAGAGGAGGGTTATTGTGGTCGAAGATGACAGTCTGAATGAAGAAGCAGGTAGCCTTACTTTGAAGCTTGGGGCCCAAGGTGGTCATGGTTATCCAATGAGTCAAAGGGAGATGAGAAATTGGGAGGGAACTAGTGGGAAGAAGACTAAGTTGAGCGGAGGTTCTGGAAATCGTGCAGTTTGTCAGGTTGAGGACTGTGGGGTTGATCTGAGCAATGCCAAGGATTATCATAGACGGCATAAGGTTTGTGAGATGCATTCCAAAGCTAATAAGGCACTGGTCGGAAATGTCATGCAGCGATTTTGTCAGCAGTGCAGTCGGTAAGCATCTAAGATTTGCTGTGATTTTGCAGAAATGAAAGAGAGAGGCTAATTAATTTTGTAGAAATTCTGATTAAAAGGAAAGTCTTGTTGTTATTTCTGTACTTAAGCTGAAATTCCATATTGTTGGATGACATGTTGTTTGGTTTTTGGTAGGTTTCATGTCCTTCAAGAGTTTGATGATGGTAAGAGAAGCTGTCGCAGACGTTTGGCTGGCCACAATAAAAGGAGGAGGAAAACAAATCCTGACACTGTTGTCAATGGCAATTCACTGAATGATGACCAGACTAGTGGTTATCTATTGTTAAATCTTTTGAGAATACTTTCTAACATACATTGTAAGTAGCACGGTCACTTTCCCACTACAACCAATACTAGTGGGTTTATGTCAGTTGACTGACGTTTCATTTTTTCTGTGAACAATGGGGCTCAATTTGCTATTAATTTTTCATACTTCACAATCATTTTCCCTAATTTTTGGGAGACCTAAGTGATTTGGTGGCTTGTTTGAAGAAGCAATGTAAAAAGAGATTTCAGCAATAGTTTATCATGCACTTTCTCTGAAAACTATATTTTAGATGAATTTAGAAGTTAGAGATAAAAGATTGGCATGATTCTTTTGTGGTAGCATGATTCTAGCTATCATATTTTTGCCTGGAATATTTTGTATCTGCTTTTGCATTACAGGGGTGAATGATTATGTTTTCCTTAAATTACAGCTAACAGATCTGACCAGACCACAGATCAGGATGTGCTATCCCATCTTCTAAGGAGCCTTGCAAACCATACTGGTAAACAAGTGGGAACAAACATATCTGGGCTTTTGCCAGAACCTCAAGATTCAGAAGCTGTTTCGGCTTTATTTTCGAATGGCCAAGGCCCTCCTCAGCCTTTTAATCAGCACATCACTGGACCTGCATCAGAGATTCCACAGAAAGGAGTACAATCACCCGATATTAGGGGTGCTGAAGTCCAAGCTGGAGTGGTAAAGATGAATAATTTTGATTTGAATGACATATACATTGACTTGGATGATGGCACAGATGACATAGAGAGGTCTCCTGCACCTGTGAATATAGGGACTAGCTCCCTTGATTGCCCTTCATGGATCCAACAAGATTCTCATCAGTCAAGTCCACCACAGACCAGCGGGAATTCAGATTCAGCATCTGCCCAATCGCCTTCTAGTTCCAGTGGTGATGCTCAGGTATCTTTGTGTTGCATAACACGCATGATTGCCTGCCATTTGTTGACTAAAATTCCTCAAATATTTTTCTGAGGTATAGGAATTTGCTAGATAGGCTTGATTTTGCGGAGGGGATCCAAATTGTGTAACAAGTTTATGTGTTAATAGTTAAGTAGTCAAGCCTCATCTCTGATCAACTCCTCACAAAGGTATAGAATGAACTAGGTTATGGCCTCATTGAGGAATCATGCATGGAAAAGTTTAGCATGATTATGCTAACCTCAACTAGTTACTTCAAAGAATTCTGGACAGTGTCTGATGAATATAATAGGCAGGGAGTTTATCTTTCGTGTCATGACAAGCAATTACAATAAAATATTTTAATGATCTGTCTCCTCTGTGTGGTTTTATCTCTTGTGTCATGACAAGCAGTTACAATCAAATATTTTGATGATCCATCTCCTCTGTCGAGTTATGTCTCGTGTCATGACAAGCAATTACAACCGAATATTTTGATGATCCATCTCCTTTGTCGAGTTATATGTTTAGTGTCAATTAATTGTGTTATTAAAAGTTTAACCTCTGATGATTCGTTTTTTACTTTGACCATTGCAGAGCCGTACAGATAGGATTGTGTTTAAGTTATTTGGGAAAGAGCCAAATGATTGTCCTTTGGATATGCGAGCACGGGTACATCAAGTTCTTGAATGTGAGTGTACTTTGGGGTTTGCTTTCTCTCAAAGTGTACTTACGTAAAATGTTTGAACTTCCAGATTCTTGACTGGCTATCTCATAGACCCACTGACATTGAGAGCTATATTAGACCTGGGTGCATTGTTATGACAATTTACCTTCGTCAAGCTGAGGCTGCATGGGATGAAGTAAGCTTGGTTTGCTTGAAACTTTGGATTTTTATCTTCTTATTAATTCTTCATATTTTTAATCCTCTAGCATCTTTTGTCAGCTTCGCTGTGATCTGGGTTTCAGTTTGAGTCGGCTTCTGGATTGTCCAGATGACACTTTCTGGAGGACTGGATGGATTTGTATAACAGTGCTGGATCAGATAACTTTCATTTATAATGGTCTGTTTGGTCTTTGTTTTTATCCTTACTGGTATTATTTAATTGATATGACCAAATAATCGGCAAGCAAGAGCACTTTTTTATGCAGGATTGAATATTCTAACAAATTTATTTTTATGCTGCAGGTCAGGTTGTCATAGATACATCTTTGCCTCTCAGAAGCAACCATTATAGCAAAATTATGAGTGTCAAGCCAATTGCAATGTCTGCTACTGAGAGAGCTCAATTTTCAGTTAAAGGTATCAATCTGTCTCGGCCAGCTACAAGGTATTCTTTACTTTTTTCTTGTAGTCAATATTTCTTGTGTCATTTTAACCCTCAATGGCTTGAATTGATCCTTAGGAATGTATATAAAATTAAATTTAGTTTTACTGTGTTGTATGTTTTGTATTGGATTTCTATGGTTGCTCTAGAGCGTTCTATATTCTTGAATTTCCTATCCCAGGTTGCTCTGTGCGGTAGAAGGGAAGTATCTGGTACAGGAAGCTACTCATGAGTTGATGGATGACAATGATGATTTCATGGTGCAAGATGAGCTTCAGTGTGTTAACTTTTCTTGCTCTATCCCTACTGTGATCGGAAGAGGATTCATTGAGGTGGTTTTTTCTTCTACTTAGATTATCTTATAATTGATCCTGTTGCTCCCCCACCCTTTGCTGTTATCTTTGATACAGATTATATGTGAATTCTAGTAAAGTTTCTTTCAATGGAGTGAGAGGTTACAAGGTAGATTGTAGATAATAGGTGTGGTATAAATACATCGAAGTTGGTGCTAAGTTTAGTACTTCTTTGAGTTGTACTGTTGTAATTCCTTACATGAAATTCCATGTTATTTTGGAGGATTGGGGAGGAAGGGGATAAGAGGAAGGTCCTAGGACGATAAGTGTTTGAGACAATTGGTGTCAACTTTATCTAAATTCTTAGAGGTATTTATAGTGGATCATAGAAGATACTTGGCTGCTTTCACACCACAACTACATGCATCTGGATAAGCCTTTGCTTCCTTTTTTTCCCTTACATGCATGTGATAAAAGATGCATGTTATATAATTTACTCTGAATAAACCTTTCGGTAGCTGAAGTTGACATTTCCTTGATGTTCTCCAGATTGAAGACCATGGTTTTAATAGCAGTTTCTTCCCTTTCATAGTTGCTGAGGATGATGTTTGTTCAGAGATCCGAATGCTTGAGAGTGTACTGGAGATTACTGACACTGATGCTGATATTGGCAGAACTGAAAAAATGGAAGCCAAAAATCAAGCCATGGACTTCATTCATGAAGTTGGTTGGCTTCTTCATAGAAGTCAATTGAAGTCTAGATTGGGCCACATGGATCCTAACCAAGAACTCTTTCCTCTAAGGCGGTTCAAGTGGCTTATGGAGTTCTCTATGGACCATGAATGGTGTGCTGTAGTGAAGACACTCTTAAATATTCTTCTTGATGGAATAGTTGGTTCAGGGGCGCATCCTTCCCTTAACCTTGCGTTAACAGAGATGGGTCTTCTTCACAGAGCTGTTAGGAAAAATTGTAGACCTCTGGTGGAGCTCCTTTTAAGATTTGTCCCTGAGAAAGCTTCAGACAGATTAGGATTTGAAAGTGAGACAGTAGCTGGTGGTGTTCATAGAAGCTTCTTGTTTAGACCTGATGTCATAGGCCCCGCAGGTTTGACTCCTCTTCACATTGCAGCAGGTAAAGATGGTTCTGAGGACGTGCTGGATGCATTAACTGATGATCCTGGAAAGGTAATCACTTATCATTTATTTCTGAGTATGCCATGAAGGGAACCACAGAATTGTTGTTTCCATTCTCATGAATTTTGATGATATTTTGAAATACGTTCCTCTGTACCTCGACCTATCTGGATCCTGTCTGTCATAGTCTAAGTTTGGGCTGAAAAGTGGAGGACTGCTTGCCATGAGTGCCATTGCTTGATTAAAAATTGCTAGGACTCTAGGAGTACATTCGTGATGTACACTCCCCTCAACACTTCCATAAGTATTTGAACTTGAGTAAGATGCTTTGAATTGTCCACTGAAGTTAAGACTGACAGTGTTTAACCATTAAATCTGAAGACAGTTCTATTCTTTTCTTTTTTCTCCTTTCTATTTTTTTGGGTTGAATTTCATTTGAAAAACAATTGTATATATTTCCCGTTCAGGTTGGCATTGATGCTTGGAAGACTGCTCGAGACAGCACTGGCTCTACACCTGAAGATTATGCTCGCTTACGTGGCCACTACTCATACATCCACCTGGTACAGAAGAAAATTAATAAGAGACCACCCTCTGGGCATATGGTGGTTGACATTCCGAGTGCCCTCTCTGACTGCAGCACAAACCATAAGCAAAACAACAAGGCTAGCTCCAGCTTTGAGATTGGGCAGCTTGAATTGAGATCCATGAAGTCACATTGCAAGTTTTGTATTAAGAAGCCGGCTCATGGCTATGGAACAGCCAGCAGGTCATTGGTTTACAGGCCTACAATGCTGTCAATGGTAGCAATCGCTGCAGTGTGCGTCTGTGTTGCTCTACTATTTAAGAGCTGTCCTGAAGTTCTGTACGTGTTTCGTCCCTTCAGGTGGGAATTGTTGGAGTTTGGAACAAGCTGAAGCCCAGTAACTCTCCCTCCCTAAGTCGGTAACGTTAGATAGGTGTTTGTATTTGTAATCCATTTATAATAGACTGTAAAATTGAGATTTGGTGTATAACAACAGTGTTTGGACTGAGTTTGGGACATATATATTTATTTGTTGTTCAGTCATCAATGTAATGTTATCAGGGTATTACCATAATAACACATGCACAGGTCTCTCTCTGGGGTCTGAGGTTCCTGACTTTGACATTCACAGCGGGAGCAGTAGCATTGTAACCAGTATTTTATCTTCTATCGTAATGATGAAATTCTGTGTTGCTTCAGCCGAAAGGAATTTCTGTTGGTGGATGATTAATGTCCTTTCTTTTCTTTTTTTTTTTTAATGATCTTCTTCTCTTTTCAACTATAATCATTTTATCTTAAAATTTATTCTCAACCAAACAACAATTCAGTTTTTATTGTGTTTTTCCTCTGGGTGAAACTTTAAAAGGATATCAACACTCCTTGATTTCTGATTGGAAGATAGATTTACGGATGGTGTGACATTTTTCTCCAGCTGTGTCCCGTGAATGGTTTGGTAATTGTGGACAAAACAAAGAAAGTGCACTAAGAATAAGCCAAAGGCCACAGTCCCCAAAGAAGTCCTGTAATGTTCCGTCCAAATTCTAACATGTTCAGAGAAAAATCTCTTCTTCGCAGGCAAATGCAGCAGAGCTAATTTGTGAAGAATGACCCACCAATTGCCAGAGCGATAATTCACGTGAAGACAGATTCTTCTTCTGCGAGCATTTTTACACTCTTTTTCTTTTTTAAACATTTTCACATTACATTGCAATAAAATAATTCATGCCCCTTAACTGTTCGTTAAAATGGCAATGACAATGCCCCTGATGATTGATTAGAAGTGTTTCAGTTGCATAATTTTCGGTATATTTAGTGCCAGCTCTCTGGTTTTTATGACAAATTTTAATTGGAAAGTGAAAACCAGTAAATAAACTATAATTAAAGCATACATAGATGAGTGTGAATTACAGTAATATTAAAGCTGCTGAAGTTCAACAAATTTTCCCTCAGCGTTTGTATTTGATAGGTTAATGCAGAATAATTAACTTGTTTTGAGGATGCTTGAATTAAACACCTGTGAAACAACCAACCCTACTTCATGGAGCACATGGCAGGTACACTTTTTGAGAGATTCGGGAAATCAAGTGCATTAAATTTATTGCTGAAATTTTCAATCATGCTTTGAATTCTTAAGCATGTCTTTTATATTAAAAGGTAAAGATTACAGAAGATGCATGACATAAGAATGAATTCAGAAGCTAGCACGTTGGTTTACCTCCTTTGAAAGTTTAGCTTAGCCATAAAATATATAAAAACAGAAGCAAATAAAAGCGGGTAAGCTATTAGCAGAACAGCTGTGAGGGGTAAATCCTTATTCTTGAACCCATAGCGGCTTTCTAAGAAGGCGCTGATAGTTTTGCGCTCCCCAAATGCTGTAATTTCCTGATTTATATCTGCATATTGTGAAGTGAGGAGACCTCTCAGAGTCCAAGAAGTTGGGACAATCCAATAGAGCCAAACCCACATTAGGAAATAGCTGCAAGAGCCAATTATGTAGCATACTTTTATTTGGTATGAAAAGAGAGGAAATATAATATGAACTTGTGATAAAAGAAATTCTCATTTTAGATTAATTCAGGTTTCAAAGAAAAAAAAAAAAACTTCAATTTCACTTTATATAGATCAGTAGGCTTACAGGTTCTGGTATGAGAAAACCGGAGAACAAATTCACCAACGTGATACAGTAACTTGCTGATATTGAGGCCATTTGGTAAGTTGCAGTCAAAGAAACAATCGCCATGCCCATATATTTGTAGTTGAGCACTGTACAAAAAATGGTATAGAAGTACCAAAATACTTTGTAAGCTGATCCATAAAAGTTGACCACCGGGTACGAAATTGTCAAGAACAAAACTGCTTCAAGGAAGATATATGGAATTTCAATTATCACCTGCAATTGTAAAAGTGCAAGTTTATTATTCACCTCTTGGAAACACAAAGAAGTATGCTGTGAGAATATATAGTTTTGGACCTGTGCAATGAATATGCCTTGGACGAGTACATTCCAGCAAACCTTTCTCCGTACATAATAGTCCGCTCAGTAGCTATGAGAGGAAGAAATGATATACAGTTGCTTAGTCCGGTAGATATCATGAAGATATACATTGATCCCATTATGTTGATGGAATCCTGCTCATTTTCTCTTCAGGGAAAGAGGATCATGGTTTCAGTATGCATGTAACATGTTATTGTTAGATGATAAGTTTATGTTTAAACTTTAGCTATAACTGCAGCTTTTGGAAAGGCTAAACTTTCTGTACGCTTATTTTGAATGAGTTCAAAGACTAAAATATGTAATAAGAAATTCAGGGTAATAGTGCCTTTGGTTGTAGGAATGCTGGGGTAGAAAATCTTGCTGATGCTCCATAGATGAAACAAGTATATTTCTGAATGTGTTTCATGGGGAGTTCAACTGAGAGGAACTATATAATACCAAAAGGGAAAAAATTTAAAGGAAGCGGCTTACACTTTTTGCCCTTTTTGCCAAAGAAGCACTCCATAAAACAAAGAAGATAACATAGTGAAAATTAAGCGCCCCAAGTTATATGAGGGGTTTCTCCAATGGGACAAATGTTGCTTCCAAAGACATGCTTTCAATTGCTCCCATCCATTTTGTGGAAAGCGTGTATTAAAACGTAGTTCCTTTGAACCCTGTGCTGGAACTCTCAGCTCTTCGACCAGTTTTTTGTTTCTCCTACACATAAAAATTATAAAATTAAATGATATAATTATGCAGCAGAAATATATTCTTCCTAAGCTTTATTTTTCTTCATTTTATTTTGAGGTGTGGCTGTATGATCAAAGATCCTCAATATATCAACTGGGGTCAAACTTCAGGGCCTTAACCAGTGCTTTGACTTATCGTGGTGAACTTACCGGTAAAGATGAGATTCTTTGTAGAGATGGGCAAAATCCACTCCAAGTTGGGCTTCAGCAGAAGGATTTGTGACCTCTAACATCCATGTTGCTGGATTGTAATTTTCTTTTATTTTTGGTACCCCTGGTATTCCCTGCTTGTAAGTGTTTTAAATTAATACTTTTACACTAGGCTGGTGGATGAGTCATGATGTTACTTTTGCTTACCTCAAAGTATTCAATAAGCTTACTAGAATACTGACCAAGCTCTCCAGAATATATTATTTGACCTCCTCTTTTCATCAAAATAACCTGCAGGATGCATTTACGTTATGTGAAGCAGAATAATCATGGCAGGATCAATGATATTTAACGAATCAAGCCGATGCAAAGAAAGACTGCACCTCATAATTATATTGTGGAATAGCAAGTGTGCTGAGTGCAATTTTTGTAACAATAAATTAACAAAATACCTTGTCGAATGCCTCCAATATGTCTATACTTGGCTGATGAATAGTGCATGCAATTGTCCTCCTAGTACTAACTATATTCTTCACCACTCGCATGACAATAGCAGCTGCTCTGGCATCTAAACCGGAGGTTGGCTCGTCCATAAATATTATTGATGGATTAGAAACAAGCTCTACTGCTATAGTTAGCCGTTTGCGCTGCTCTGCTGATAGACCACTGACAGCAGCGACGCCAACTAAAGCATCTTTGATTTCATCAAGCTCAATCATTTGAAGAACCTCCGCCACAAATTCCTGTTAAATACCATAATCAAGTAAGCCTTTAATATACTTTTATGGTGATAACATGACAATTTTAGCTTGTAAAACGACAATGTTTCACGAATCAGACTGGTTTATGGGCATTGCATGAAGTTTTTGTTTTTTGTTTATTTTGGCATTGCATCAAGTTTGAACACATCTTACCAATCTTTTATGCCTAGGAATCTCTGCTGGTAAGCGTAACCAAGCTGAGTACATCAACGATTCCCGTACTGTTACCTACGGAGAGTGTATATCAGTTTGCTCACAGTACCCAGATACTCTGGCATATGTCTCTTGGACTTTAGGGTATCCTCCAACTCTTACATCCCCTTCAATATAGCCTCCAGTTTTTCTTCCAGATAGAACATCCGTCAGTGTTGTCTTGCCAGCTCCACTAGTACCCATCAAAGCAGTAAGAACTCCAGGCCTAAATGCACCAGAAATATCTCGAAGAAGATGTAGTTTCTTATTTGGGAACCCTTGCTCCCTCAGTTTCTGGGAAAACAGAGAATATAGATTGAAAACTTTTCTAATCATCTTCAAATAATAAGGTTCTGTTGATAAGTAGTATGGTTACCTTGGGAGTGTGGACAAAGTATTGCACGTTATGAAATGATAGTGTTACGGGCTCAAAAGGAAAAACCATCCTTGTAATTTCTGTTGTTGCAGTATCATTCAAAGACTCAACAACAGGCTGTTTGTTTTCCTGTATGGAATTAGAATTGCTCAAATCTTCTTTTCCTTTTAGATAAGAGAACCTTTCTTGAGAAACAATAGCCCGAGATCTCCCTGGAGCTGTGCAAAATTTCATTTTTCAACAAACACAGCTTAGTACTAGAAATGATTTATTTCATCAATTAAGTTTTTGATTCTTTTATCGTTTTCTTCTTGTATCTGCATGGAGTAAAACTTACGTTTTAAATAACTTAGGGGCTAAGGTGAATCCAACGTTAACAAGAATCCACATTCCTATCAAAGCTCCTACTGATATCCAGTAGAAGTATTCACCGAAGTTTAGTCCACGCTTTATTAGAACCCGATGCCCTAAAGTCTCATTTGAAGATGAAACCTGAAAAGCGATAATGACCGGCGAACATGGAGTAGCAAGTACAGAAGTCTTGATCTTTAACTCATTTCATCAACAACCATTGGCAATTCTCCTTTTTACCTTTTGCCACCTAGGAGCCAGAAATTCATTAACGGCGATTCCTATTTCTGTATATGAGAGTGGGGAAATCCAAAAACCCCATTTTATCCAACTAGGCATTGATGCTGCATTGACGAAATCGTGTGTTATATTTACATGAATACTTTTTCATTTTTTAAACTTCAGAATTTCTTCTTACAAATAGTAAGATTGACCTTACGTTGGGGTACTATGAAACCACTGAATAATGCCGTCATCACATACGTAAATTCACCAAAAATTGCCGCAGCGGATGGGTTTTGAAATACCGCGGCAATCAAACGATAAATTGAGATTGCAACTTGATGAAGAAGGAAAAGGAGGAATAGTTGACGGAAAAACCTGACAGTGACACTAGGACACAGATAAGATGAAATTTATTTTTAACATAGTAGTAATAGAAAATTGTCTTTAAAAAGCTAACCTTTCTGGTTCTGGACTATAGCCAATCGTATAATATACAAGAGATGTCCAGAGAAAAGCATCAAGGAATGAAAATGGAATCTTTAGAATAGCTGAAGGAATTGAATAAGCCCATGCAGGATAGAAGCACAAATCTCTTTGCTTGTAGAATATGCCAAGTCTGGAACTAGTAAATGCCAACTCTGACATTCCATTGCCCATAAGTCTCAAAAGATCATAAAATAAAGAAGTCATGTACTGGCTTGCATGGAACTCATCAATCTTCATCCGAGCGCGTATAAACGCAGTCAAGGTTATCAGTGCCAAAAAAACAAGCTACAAGCAGAAAACACCCAAGGTGTGTAAGAGTGTGTTTATTAATTTGCCTTCTATATTGATTCATAAATTACTAACTGCGATTAATTATGGTTACCTGTGCTGATTTAAACACATAAAAAATTGAGTTACGCTTCATGAGAAGCCATTCCCTAGCTAAGCATGCTTTGAATAATTCCCATTTTCCCAATGAACAGATGTTAAATGACAAAGCATTTTTGTGATCCTCAGTTGTGTTGAAAGGCGTGCAGAGTTCTTCGATTGGCCTCTTTCCTGCATGAAACTCTTTGAATGCAGCTATGAATTTGTCAGTAGAAGCATAACTATGAGGTCTGCCCATATGATACCAGTACTGTGCTTGATCCTTCTTGGAGAGTACCTATTACATGAACCAACTTCAAAACAATGTTTCGAGAATTGAAGCAAATATTACGTGTGTGCTACATAGATTCAAGTGTGGACACATACTTCTTGCAGGAAGTCAGCGAGGCCTTTCTGTGGTGGGCACCTAAAGCCGCAATGTTCAAAGAACTATTGAACATCACTCCGAGGTCCGTGGTATACAATCTTCCCTTCCGCCATTAAGATAATGTCATCAAAGAGATCAAAGGTCTCCGGAGCTGGTTGAAGAAGTGAAATTAAAATTGTGACCCCTATTATGTGGGCCAATTTCTGTAGACAGGTTACAATTTGAAAGGTCGTGGAGCTATCTAAACCTGTTGATAATTCATCCATAAAGAGAGCTTTGGTTGGACCAATTATCATTTCCCCTGTTAGAGGTAAACACTAAACACTTAGTACTTTGTCGAAGAACTTAATTTTCTAACTCAATGAAAATTGTGCTGATCATAATTTATCCATTAGTTTTATTAACCACTTAATTTTTTATTTTAGTTAACTCATAAATCCATTGGCAATAATATTTTTATTTTAGTTAAATGAACTCATAAATTCATTAGCAAGTGGTAGACTACAAGGTACAAGCAAAAAACCTGTTGTCAGCCTTTTCTTTTCACAGCCAGAGATTCCTCTGTTCATTGCATCCCCCACGATCTTATCAGCACAAATATCCAGTCCTAGGATCTGAATAATCACAAATGGTAGCAAAATATTTAGGGAAGCTATTAATTAGCTACAAGAGTTGGATCCTCTGATGGAACTCAAAATGAAGTGGATGCAAAAATATTAGTACAAATTTTTTTTCTTTTACAGTCAAAATCAAGCGAATCACCTTTAATAAATAGTCTGTCTGGAGTGTTCTCTTTAAATCTTCTACTGAAATTGCCTGCCAACATAGATTGTTTCAAAGATTGCAGCAAAGGAAATGATGGAAGCTACCAGCCTTCTATTAACATGTTAAATAACTGAATCATTTGTCGTAAAACTGATTACCTTCATGTAGGTGTCTATATCTGGTTCAGGGATGATGCCATGTAGCTTCTCCCGTGTACTGAGTTCTTTCAAAATATTTTCAACCATAGACAATTTCAATGATCAATATACTGTTAAGAAGGTGTGATTTTTAATTAATATAAGATGGAGAACAAAATCTACCTGCTCTGCTCCCAACACCCTGACAACGTGCTGAGAAGTCAAGTGTCTCTCTTATAGTCATTTCAGAAATATGCAAGTCATATTGACTTATATAAGCTGACGTTTTCTGAGGAACAAATTCATTGAGCTTGTAACCATTGTAAGAGATTTCCCCTGAGACCTGATATTAAAATTGTACAAATAGATTGCTCAGTGGTTTGTTGTTTAATTCATTAACGAATAATGTTTTTCTATGTTTTGCATTCTGTGATCCCAAAGCATAGCCGATACAAACCCAATCCCAAAAGGACAAGAATTCCAATTCTGGTACCCGTACCTTACAAATGATTAACTAATTCAAGTCAAATGAAGTTAAAACAATCAGGTAAAAAGAAGATATCCCATCCTAGACATTCTATCAAGCATCCTTAAAGCATAAACAACAACTCATGAAAGAAGCACATACGCAGTTTATGCAGATCATACACGGTTTATGTCCGAGAGGCTAGATAGGTAAGAAAAAGCACCTTGAGAGATAGGTCATGCTTCCCTGCAAGTGTTTGTAACAAAGTAGTTTTTCCACAGCCCGGAAGGCCAAGCAACAAAGTCATCCTGCATTAGAATTGAGTGTATGAACAATGCTCAGCTAATTGAATTGGTATAAACTATTGTTCCTTATTTCAAACGAAAAACGTAGCTTAAACCTGATAGGTTCTATTTTAAATAGTTGTCATGATTATATGATTCAAGCTGGAGTATGTGCCTGGAAGGCTTGATGATGCCGCTGACATCGTTGAGAATTTTGATCTTGTTTGGTTGAGACATGCATCTATTAACATTTATTATAGCCTGCTGAACATGAGATACCTTGTTAAACTTTCCTATTTTAAGAGGTGCATGGCATAAAATAGTAGTAATATTTTTAAATAGTCAAACTGGAATACTAAATTCTCTAGTCAAACTAAGATCATTTCAGTACTTTATAAGTTAGAGATGACAATTGCAACATCCATCTAAAAAAAGCTAGCTTCATTTTCTTTTCCCTTTTTCGGATAGTTAAGTTTCATTTATCCAAAAAACAAAAAAAAAGAAAGTGAACCCTGCTTCATGTATTTTTTTTTTCCATGTTTACTTACCATAAATAGCAAAGTGTTATTAATGTTGGATGTACGATGAGTTTGATTGCGGTGAGATTAAAAATAATAATAAAATTTATTATAATTGCAATTGAAAATAAATTATTATAGCTACGATGAAAAAAAAAATTTTAATGAGAAATTATATTGATTTCATTAAAGTTAATGTTTGGATTCAACTGGAGGTACAATGAAGCTTAATCGCATTGCATCAAAAGTTCAAGGGGATCCAAATAGCTACTAAATAGAATTATAAACGAATTGAATATGAACGATTTTTATTATGTTCATGATATATTCATTTGATTAATGAATCTTTAGATGTTTTTAATTATTTGCTATGTTTAATAAACAAATAAATATCAAGATTATTTATAAATTATTTGTCAAATATTTTTTTTGTTTACACTTTCATGTTATAAATGAATTGAACATGATTAAATTTTGTAATATTTATAATTTGTTCGTTTAATTAAGAACTCTAAAATATTATTCGTAATTGTTTATTAAGCTTAATAAATAAACAAAAACCGTACATATTTAAGAACTATTTACCAAACATTTTGTTCATTTAGACTGCCATTGTTTTAGATGTAACCTATAGAAAAACTATGTTCATATCTTAGATTAATAAAAAAAATTTGTCAACCATGTGTGAAAAAAATGCATTTCCGATACACTAAAATTTTTGCTTGAGGGGATGGAATTTTATGGAAAATGTTAAACACTTACAGAGAATGTGTTTCTGATGGTGTTCCAAATAGTAGGAAGGGGCTTTTTGTTGGGCTAAAAGCCTCAAATCCAATCACACTAGCGGAAGCGAAATCAAATAATAAATCAAACACACAAGAGATAATAATTTAACGTGATTCGATCCAACTGACCTACATCCACGGATGAGAAACAAGATCTACTAATTGTAGAGAATTACAAACATATATCAAATCATCAACCTCACTCAACAATCAATACTTATAAGACACTCTCAATCTCCTCTAGTCCTATAAAGTATTCTCAACCCAAACAAATACAAACCCAAACAGTTGTGCACTCTTTCAACATAACCAAATATATACCCATATGCTCTCATACATCATACCTATGTGGATCCTCTCAGTCTCCTCTAGTCCACTCACAAACAAACATACACTCCCATAAGACGTAGAGTCCCAATACTCTTATGAGGTGTCTATCTCATAAAATCTTACAACTCTCTTACATCTTTTTTCTCATACCTAACCTTGTAGAGACTTCACTTATTTATAACCATACAAATTTACCCATTAAGAATCCCTCTCCTCTTAGAATCTTCTCCTGTAAGTCAAACTTGTCTATTAAGAATCCCTTTCCTTTTAGAATTCTTTTCTTGCAAGTCAAACTTACCTATTAAGAATCCCCTTTCTCTTAAAATTCTTCTTTTGCAAGTCTTCTTGTCCATCAAGCAATATTTGACAAATTCCAAATAAATCTTTTATGAGATTTGAGTCAATATTCTCAACAATCTCCACCTTGACTCAAATTCCATCAATCATCTATTTTCATGCTAGACATGCTTGGCTCCACCTGTAATTGAAGTCTTACAATCATCTTCTCTTCTCTTGTGTCTTCACGCTTCATACAAACCAATCCTCAATATTCAAAATTTAAACTCGAACTCTTTTTTTGAATCGAGCTCTTTTGAACTTGCTTCTTCTCATGACTCAAACCATGCACTTCCCATATCTTAAATTTTTAGCTCTTCCCACATCTCGAACTTTCAGCTCTTTCACATCTCGAACCTTCAGCTCTTTTCATATCTTGAATCTTCAATTCTTCTCACATTTCGAACCTTCAGCTTTGATACCATTTGTTGGGGAACACCACAGCTTTGATACCATTTGTTGGGGATCACCACAGCTCTGATATCATTTGTTGGGCTAAAAGCCTTCAATCCAATCACACCAGCGGAAGCAAAATCAAACAATAAATCAAACATACAAGAGACAATAATTTAACGTGGTTCGGTCCAACTGACTTACATCCACGGATGAGAAACAAGATCCACTAGTTGTAAAAAATTACAAACATACATCAAATCATCAACCTCACTCAACAATCAATACTCATAAGACACGCTTAATCTCTTCTAATCCTATAGAGTATTCTCAACCCAAACAAACACAAACCCAAACCCTTGTGCACTCTTTCAACATAACTAAATACATACCCATATGCTCTCATACATCATACCTATGTAGACCCTCTCAGTCTCCTCTAGTCCACTCATAAACAAACATACACATCCATAAGATGTAGAGTCCCAATACTCCTATGGGGTGTCTATCCCACAAAACCCTACAACTCTCTTACATCTTTTTTCTCATACTTAACCTTGTAGAGACTTCACCTATTTATAACCATACAAACTTGCATATTAAGAATCCCTCTCCTCTTAGAATTCTTCTCCTGTAAGTCAAACTTGTCTATTAAAAATCCCTTTCTTTTTAGAATTTTTTTCTTGCAAGTCAAACTTACCTATTAAGAATCTCTTTTCTCTTAGAATTCTTTTTTTGTAAGTCTTCTTGTCCATCAAGCAATATCTGACAAATTCCAAACAAATCTCTAATAAATTTCAAACAAATCTCTTATGAGATTTGAGTTAATATTCTCAACACTTTTCATGTACCACTTTACACTCTGCTTCCACAGACAAATTCTTGAATCTCACTTCGATGGTTGGCATTTCCAATCCCACCCTGATTCCAAATATCAATTTCAGTCAGACCACCAAATGTCAATCTAAGTTTTTTTTGGCAATGACCACGTTGTTATGCGAGTTCATAATTGATTTTGATGTTCGTAATGGCTATACAAGCAAAAAAGGAAAAGGAAAAGACAAGGTTCTTGTTTCATGCCTGGCTATTCTTTCTTTAAGTTTCTTTAACAGCCTGAGATTGTCCTCTTCGATTATGGTTATCAATTTGTCAATAAAAACATGGCGTTCCACAGCTCCAAGCTCAGTAACGTGTATCACCCTGTTGCCTGCCTCTCCTTTGCCATCGTTTAACAACTTGTTATCAAACAATGATGTTCTTATCCGCTTGAAAGTGGGTAATCTTTCGATCGCATCCCACTGCAACTCCACTTCATCATCATTCTCTCCCGCATCTGAACCGCTCCTGATGCTAGAAGAAACGAGATCTTTCAATGTCGACGACATGCTTCTCCCTAGGGTCTGCTAGTTCAAGGCCATTTTTCCCGTATCTTCCTTTTTCCCAAGTTAGAGGAGAATTAAATCAATTTAACGAACTGCTAATGAAATATATAGCACAACAAATTTAATTCCGTCAGTTTCAGGGTTTGTGGGGAATTGGCATTGTCTTTGCTTTGTTTGGTAACAAAAATTGTCAGAGAAGTTTTCTGGCTTAAAATTAATTTATTTTATTCATATAATTATTTTTAAAAAATAACATTTAATAAATTTAAAATTTAAACCATAATACTTCCAATCCATCTAAGTAAAAAAGTTTGATTGAAAAAGAAATCTGTTACCTCTTCTATTACATTGTTTGTATTATATAATTGTCAAGTTAAAGCTGAATTTATTTTATTTATGTAGCTTAAAATAGCATCTTATAATTTTTATTTTCTTGATGTAATCATTAAAAATACTTAATAAAATATTTAAAAGTGAAAATTCGTATTTTACTATTCTCATCTTTTATCTAATAATTAAAAAAAAAAAAAAAACATGTTTGATCGTGTTTCGTAAATTTTAATTTTTGTGGGTTTTTTTTAGAGTTTTTAACTTTTACAATAAATATTTATGGCCTTGGGCTAGTGGGTACCACCTCCATGGATGACCTATCGGTAGCACAATCCATTTACCTAATTATGGCTGGACACTTGCATGATATTAAGATTTTAATGGTCATTAAAACAATTACCCATTTATAAAGGAAATAACATACATTAATATTAATACCTTTAAAATATATATTTGATAACATTATTATAACTAACAATTTTTTTCTTTTTCTATAAAATAGATTATAATATGAAAATTAAAAAAATTATAGATGTTATAATTTAAATCTTAAATTTATTGAATAGTATTTTTTAAAATAATTATATAAACTAATTAAATTCAATCATTTTCAATTAATAAATTTAATTTTTTAATTCTTTTACAAATATAAAAATAAAACGTTTACTATGAACACCTTAAATACCTCATAAACATATTAAAAAAACAATTTGGTTCTTTAAAAATTAAAAAAAAAAAAAGGGAAAACAAATAAACAAAACTGAATCCAAAATTCCTATAACAACATTTAATCGTCAATTGACTGTTCTAATGAAGAATTGACCTTTAGATGTATAAATTTGGTTTAAAGATTCTTACTTCATTTAAGAGAATTAGAGTTTGAATCTCCATACTCCTTTCTTTTTTTGTATACATGAATTAAAAAAGTCAATGTTAATATCACAATTAGGGGTGATCACAGATTGAGTTTAGCTTAAGTTCAAGTCTAGTTCAGAGATAATATTACATTAATAAATAATTATTTTGTTAAATTTTATTTTTAGAATATATTTAAAATATTAATATAAAATTAATTTTTTAATATTTAATCATAAATATAATTTAATATTACAGGTTTTAAAAGTGCTAAGCCGATTCAACTCGATCCATTAACAGCTTTGACTACAACTTTGCCTACCGAATTAAATATTATAGGTTTATCCTTGTAATTAACAGCCTGCCTAGGTCAATATTAAATTGTTAACTTTTGGAAGAACAAGAGAAAAGTGAAGATAATATGCTATTTGATCTCTTATTGTAAATTGATTGTGCCTTCATGCTGAAGGGCCGGGAGTAGGAATCTGTTGCAGGATATAGAGTAGGCAGAGGCCTGCTCTTTTGTTTATTTATTTATTTATTTGTTTATTGGTAGTGGAAAGGTAAATGGAATTAGTGCAATAGCAAGCATTGTTAACATATTTTTAAATTTTGGAAACTATTAGTCACCTGATCATTTGGGATATTGGTCTAGAAATGCTATAAAAAAATGACAAGAGTTTGATGGGAATTTTATGTGAAATTTCTTTAAATTATCAACAAAATCAGGTTATAAATCAAAATGTCAAATCCATATCGGAACCTGCAAAAGATACAGTTAAAACTTTAAGTTAAAAGTTAGATTGAATCAAAATCTTAGTGCCAAGTTGAAAACTGCATCAAGATAGATGTATGGAATTTCAATATATACTCACCTGCAAATGTAAAAAAAAAAAAAAAAAAAAAAGGTCAAAAGTTAAAACACATACATATCAAGGTATTTTAACTTGAAGATATCACTAGAAATGCCAAGAAATGCTTCATCATATGTTTGGACTAGATCTTTCCATGGGTCGAGGAATCTATCAAAATCACCCATAGGTTACTAATAAGCACAAGGTTACTAATCTGGCCCAGAAATCCTTGTTCTAACATGAAGGTCATGTTGCTGGTCTTAGGCTTTGGTCGAAAGCCCATGGTCCAATATCTGAGCGGAGTCAGGTTTAACAACTGTCTCTTTCTGTGTTATTACTAACACCTTTGCTATGAATGAAAAACCTTTTTTTTTGGTTGACAGTGTGATCAACACTTAAAATTTTCACAATGTCAGCTACCGTGCTATGATTGTCCACCGCATTTGTGACCAAGCCTCCAATGCATTTTTATTCTTTCACATTAGAGGCGTGACAGGATATTCATGGTGATTTAGCAAAGAAACAGTGGGTAAAAATGATGAACCCAACTGAATTCACATGAATAATTCTGTTAGCTAGAGTACAGGTTTGACATGTAGAAGATGATACCCACAACTCAAAAAAAAAAAAAAGAAAAGAAAAGGAGGATTCAAATCAGGCTTAGATTAGTCTGAGACTAGGAATGCCACATTAATGTAATTCACTCTCTATATATACCGTAGGGGTAATCTTCATTCCTTCACTGGCCGAGTCTAACCTTCTTTCAATACCAAATACAAACTAAGCTGTACGTTTCAGTGACCAAAAACGAAAAATGAAGTGCACAAAACAACCTTTGGCTCTGGCATGTCTTCCTCTAGCCTTCTCTTTGCTTCTTTGTTTTGCTGCTTGTGAAGGTGCGTTTATTTCCATTATCATTTCTATCTCTGATTATTGAGGATTTTATTCTTCCTTCAAGTTTTGACAAAAGATTAAGATTGTACCACTAGGAGTCCAAATCCGCAGACATCTAGCTGCATTTAGTAGATTATACTCCATTAATCTCCTTTTGCTCTTTGAAAGATTTTCTTTTATTTTGATTTTCAAGTTTATTTGTACTCTAAAATCGGGTTGTGCTACCACATGCACGTTCAAGAAAACATGGTAATGGGAGAAAGGTAACTCCCAAGGAGTAATCAGAACCGCTAAAAGGTTATAGTAGATTTTGAATGGGTGCTATCAAGTGATTTAAATGTCTAAGAATGAAAAGCAAGTTAAACAGCTATATTGCTCTCACATGCCACCCTAATTTGTCTGTCCACATAACGAAAGCAAGTTTAACAGCTTTATTGCTCTTATATGCCACCCTAATTTGTCTGTTCACTTAATGAAAGTAACGAGTGTTTAGTGTTTTGTAGGCAAGCGGTGGTGGAAATACGTGGTGCATCGCCAAGCCATCCACAGATAATATCAGGCTTAACAGCAATATTAATTACAGCTGCACGCAAAATGGAGTGGATTGCAAGCAAATCCAACCTGGCGGTACCTGCTACCGCCCAAACAGTATCATCTCCCATGCTTCTTACGCCATGAATCTCTTCTACAAGTCTGCAGGGAAGAATACTCGGAACTGCCATTTCAATGGCACTGGCATCATCATTTCAGAGAACCCATCTAAGTTATTTTCCACATCCTGTCTGATTCAGCAGGGCATCTACTTCAGCCTGTTATTTGCTGAAAGCTTGTTGATGTTTGAAAGATCTTGGCTTTTTCCTTGCTGTTGTTGGCAGCCATTGGTAGCTGTAACTATCCAATGTGATAAACAGAAGCCCGAGAACTGCCGGGAAGGACATGATGTCAAGTTCTTTTATTATGAACTGTGGTCCTCTGTTTTAATTGATTTGAGAGACAAGGCAGTAGCAATTGTGGCAAATAATTTACCTGTGATATTTTCATTTCGATATACAATGCAAACTCCTATTGGCAAGTAAAATTTCAATACATTAAAAACATGATGATACTGCTAATCATAATTAGTAAGAATAAGGTGAAAAAAATGTAGAGAGAGTTAGGCCCTATTTTACACTAGTTGCTGCCTAAAACAAACCTGACCGGAATGGCAGGAAGCAACTAACCGTCTGGAGCCCAGAATACTCAAAAGCCGCGTCCAACTGAACGCCACAAGAGCTGCATGATACGGCACTGTTATTGTCACGTCAGGGTCAAGAGGCCCTGCATAGCTTCTTATCTAAACACATTGCATGATTACAACAATCTGAAAAGAATGGGCCGCTACTAAAACAATGTAAAACAAAAGGAAAAAAAAAAAGAGGGACGATGGGAGCATTAGAACAATAATGATTATCCCAAAGTACATATTACTACATATTGCTGCTTCCTTGCAGCGAATTCCACAAGCAATCATAAGGGGCAGATTGTTACTTCCAGTGCAATCAAATATGAAGCAAAATTCTCATACATTTTTTCAACAATGACACTGATAAAGGACACATAAAATCAGGACAACCAAGATAAAAGAAAAATAGAAATGGAAAAGAAAATATAAAATGAATACGGCATCATATGTATGAGATTAGAAACATTCGGGGGATTGCTTAAAGTATATGGCAGCAGCAAAGAAACATCAGGATTAATATCATTCAGAACTAGAAATTAGCAAGCACTGAGCAGCCGGGACAGGCAAAGCTCAATTTACGATTGAGGCTTCTCCCACTTGAGGGGCTTCACAACTTCCCAGGTGAAGTCTGGGTCATCCCTTCCAAAGTGTCCATAGGCAGCTGTCTTCAAGAACCGGCTATTGCCACCCCTCTTGAGGTCCAGGTTGTTGGTGATCATACCAGGCCTGAAGTCGAAGTTCTCCTTCACAATTTGGAGGATTTCCTTGTCAAGAATCTTTCCAGTTCCATAGCTGTTCACGAAGACAGACAACGGCTCAGGCACACCAATAGCGTAGGACACCTGCACAAGGCA